CCTTTCCTCCACATCACAAGCTTCCTGATGGGGACAGCTGAGAGGCCCAGGACAGAAAAGACCTCTGGTGAAGGGGTTCAGAGTTGCCAGCTTGGCGCTAGAGTCAGGCTGCCAGGGGGACAGTGGAGCCTGAGGACTCGGCCTGTGGGGGCCGGGGTGTGTGTGGGGCACCACTGAACGCTGGACACTGGTGTGCGGAAGACATATGCTCCATTTTCTGAGTGGATCAAGGTCACACGGCATGTGACCTGAAGCCGACCTTTTGTTTCCTGGAGCCCTACTTATTAAATGATCCCACGGGGGGGGGGGGGGAATGATTCCACGGTGACCCAGAGCCCTGATGGCTAACATGCTTGGGGACTTTCCCAGGCCACCCTGGCGTATACCGTATCCCTCAGTTACAGCAGAGGGCATCATGGTGGGGGGTGGCACCTTGTCAGAGCTTTGTAATTGCATCCTGACTCTCTGTCTCGCTTCCTGGGCTGCCCGTGGGATAACTCCCACTCCCGGGTGGGCACTGCCAGGCGTCAGATGCCCTTTAAAGCATTTTATACGGGTGCACTCATTGAATCCTCGAGCCACTCCAGGGTTACTCGCGTTCTCCGGAAGAGGGGGCTCCCTCCCAGGCAAGGCCGGCGTCTGAATCTATTAGCAGGAATCCAGCCAGGCTGGAAAGTCAGCACTGTTAAAAAAAAAAAAAAAAAAAGCGAAGATTGTTTTTCCTTAGAAAAATGAAGCATAAGAAGCACTCAAGAGAGTGCAGAACTGGAACCGTGTAGTGCCAGGGATGCTGACAGCCGCGTGCCACCTAAGTGGTAAGTAGAAGTGACCTGGACTCCGAGCCTGTCTCGTCCTTTTCCCCAAAGCTGACCTTGGTCCTGAGGTCTCCTGTACCAAGGGCTGGACTGAGGGCCTTTGGGCTGCAGCCTCAGCCCCCACTTTGGTTTTTGTTATTTTGAATTTGAGACAGTGTCTCATTAAGTTGCCCATGGTGGCTTCAAACTTCCAGTCCTCTTGTCTCAGCTCTCTATTAGCTGGGATTACAGGTGTGGGTCTGTACCAGCCTCTCTATCCTGATTTTTAAATTGTTGGATTAATTTTGCCTGTTTTTGAATTTTATGTAGTTGTTCAGTAGTAGTCCTTTGATCAACTATGATTTGTCTATATTGTTAGGTGTAAATAACTTTCTATTCTACTGTAGATTTTTTTTTGTTTATTGTCGTTCTGGGAATCAAACCCAGGACCTTGCGCTTGCCAGGCAGGTACTGTGCCACTGAGCTACATCCCCGGCCCATTAGGAACGTTGAGCGTATATTTTGGAATATATTTTACTGGGTTTATATCTAGCAGTGGAATTACTGGTTGCTTCCAAGTGGTTGGAAAAATTTGGTTTCCTACTAGCATGGTATGAAAGGCCTCTTACTTCCCACCCTGGTATGGTTAGGATTTAAAATCTTACCTATCCAGTGGCTAAGTAGTGGTGTCATTCCTGTTTTTTTTTTATGTGTATTTATGAAATAAAGCATAAGTAAAAGCAAGGATTTTTTTTTTTTTTTTTTGGTAGTCCAGACTGGCCTTGAAAACTATGTAGCTTGGGCTGGCCTTGAACTGGAGATCCTCCTGTCTCAGCCTCCTGAGTGTTGGGATCATGTGTATGTGCTTAAAAACAAGCAGCATCAACCATCCAGCTTCTCATGACAATCTGATGAGCTAGGAATTTTGCAGATGAGTGAATGCAGGTAGACCGTGCTCTCTGCTGTCCTGAAGTGATCAGTCTCCTTTCCTGGGGCCCCCACCTACTTTCCCAGTGGTATTAGGGTGTCTGGACACCACCAAACTTGGGTGTCCCCTTCTGCCAGAGAGGAAGAGGAGGGAGGTGGGGGCCACAGGGGTGGAAGTGAGCCCTGCCCTCTCCCGGGAGGTTCACTGAGTCTGCAGACCCTCTGCAGGGTCTCTGTGAGCCTCAAGGCCTTTGGGGGATCTCTCTGGATACAGCCATCCCTCAGCAGTGTCTTCTTGGGGTCTTTTAAGGGGCGGGTGGCACCTCACTCCCAGGGCTGGCAGAGGGGGAGACAGGTCTCAGCCAATGTGGGGAAGGACAAGGGTCTCTGCATCTGCCAGGCCAAAGGCCACCTAAAGCAACCAGCCTCCCCCTCCATGTGACAGATGTTAGGCGAGGCCAGCAGGTGGCCCTCCTGCCCTCTGCCGGTGCCCTGGGTCCCAGGATGCACTCTCCCTGCTGGAGTCCCAGCCCGAGGGTTCCTGGTGATAGCTCTAGTCATAGTGGCCGGGTGGCGCAGGGCGCACTACACACATTCAACATTCTCACTGGATTGGCTACTAGCTGTGTGCACTTAGGGGAGCCTGGTCACCTCTCCAGGTGGTGACAGTCTGCCAGGTTCCAGCCCCCTTCACTTTGCTGGTGTCCTGCACAGGCTTCAGCCAATGAGAAAGAGATGCCACGGGTGACATCCAGAACCACACAAAAGAGAGCCTGTGCTCTTAGACTGCCACGTTGCTGGAGCTGGAGGGTGTCCCAGCTCACAGGCTCGCTCCCATTGTGCAGGTGGTAAAACTGAGCCTGAGGAAGAGGAAGTGGTCACAGAGCGGGCTGGACTGCATAGGAGCCTGGTGCAAGCTCCCTGCCCCCTTCCCTCCTGTACTGGGGGGAGAATCTGGGCTCCAAGCACCCGGGCTGGACCAGGCCTCTCTGCGCCTGTGAGGTTGCTATGGAGACCCTGGTTTCTCTGATGGGGTCTGGAGGTTGGGACAGCAACCATGCTCAGTGGCTTGTTGACGCCCAGGGAGGCTTCAGAGTCTGTGCCCCCTACTTGGTGTGGACACAGTGGTCAGTGGAGGACAGTCAGGAAGGGGCTGGACCCAGTGTAACCAGTACTGAAGACCACTCTGATAGCTGCTTTCGAAGGCGCTGAGCGTAAAGGTTAGACCTGCATCCTTTGCAGCCCAGCTGGAGGCAAGCCCAGCAGGTCGGGCAATCCCTGACGGCAAAGCTGCGTCTTTCCCAGGGCCCAGCTCCCATCCGTGCCCGGCAGAGGTCTAAAGCTGTCCCAGCGAGGGCCCAGCGAGACTGCCCACCGGCATCCAGCAGGAGTGTGTGTGGGAGGCTGAGAGGGGCAGGGTTTCCCCATCCCCTCAAGGGCAGCACATAGGAGGAGGCCGGGAGAAGGCCTCGCCTCATTCTCTGGCTGAGCCCAGGAGGGGAGGCCAAGCTGTGCCTTCAGAAGGCCCCAGGTCCTGCTACAGATCTCCAGCCAGTGGGGAAGAGGTGGGAGAGAGCCCAGCAGGCCTATCACGTGTGGTCCTGTGCCCGGGCCTCTGTCTCTTCCAGACAAGGCCTGAAGCTGGATCAGTTTCAGTGTCCCTAGTGAGTCCAAGTGATAGAGGTGGGGTTTAAATTCAGTCCCGTCGGACAAAGCGGACACCTGTGCTCTGCTTTGCCATGGAAGATGTGGCCCAAGGATCACCCCCAGGGAGGTCCTCCTGCATCTTGGGGGGAGAGCTGACCCCTCGTGTCTGTAGGCTCTGTTTCCCTGGGCACCTGCCTGCTTCCCGGATGGATTTTGTTTCCTTTCCTCAGTGGGCAGGGAGCCCCTGGAGGGCAGCCCCGCCTTGGCTGACCTTGTATGCCCAGGATAGAGCCCAGGGTCCAGGCAGACAGGTAGGCTGTGCCTCCTCGCCCTCTGTCCACTCCTGCCTCCTAGAATGACTGGAAAGGACACACAGGAGAGACTGGGTGTTGGGGCTGAGGTGTGTGCGCCGCTGTCCCCCGCAAACCTTTCCAGGTCCTCACCATTGAGATGAGATGGCGGGAGAGAAGCCAGGACCTGGTCCGTAGCTCCAACTCCACGCCCTGCCGCAGTCTCCACAGTGGCCAGTAGGTGGCGTCAGCTCGCAACGTTTCGTTGGTGCTCGGGTCCTGACAGGCCGCGCTTTTCCTCCATCACCCCAGTGCTGCACTTGCATCAAGCCGGAGGCCACCGTCCACTGAAAACCTCAACCCCAGGGGAAGCCGCAGGAAGCGGGTCCGGGAGTTGCGTGCGCTTCAGCCCTGCTGCTCCGAAGCCTTCCGGAGACCTCACGCTAACACCGGGCCCCTGACCAGCAGAACCTTTGGGGGTGGGGTGGGGGTGCGAATCGGGGGACCCGAGACGGCAGCTAGGAGTTGGCCCTCCTAGGCCCTCCACATGCCCCTGCAGGGTTCCTGCCGGGCCGGCAGGCCTGGACCAAGGGTGAGAGGCGGCAGGCCGCCAACCCAGAGGGCTCCGGAGAGTTGCAAAGAGCCGCCCTTCCCTCCCGAACCTCGACTGCCACCTGCCGGGGAGCGGTGGCAGCGGTTTGCAGACGCAGCGACCACGAGGCACGGTGCCCCCCGGACTTGTCCACGCGCAGCCCGCACCGGGTGCGAGGCGCAGCCTCCAGGCGGGGCGCCCCCTCCCCCCAGGAGCGGGTCTGGGCCGTGGAGGCAAGACCTGGGGAGGAGAAAGGGGCCGGGCGCCCCGCTTCCCCGAAGTTGGGTCCACTTCATCCTGCGGGGAGGGCAAGGCGGCCCCAGGGAGCTCCGGGGTTGAGAGGCGGAGGCTGCGGGAGTAACAGGGCACCCGCTTCTCCGCGGCGTCTTGGGGGGGGGCTATCGCTGGGGCCCGCACCCCTCGCCCACCTCGCCGGGCGCACCGGGGAGGGGTGAAGAGAAATGCCGACAGGGGATCCGCGGGGGCGTTCGGGCTCGGGTGGGGACTCTCGGGGTCGCGGGGGCCCTCGCTCCCTCTCCCCGCGCCCTGCTCCCCGAGTCCCGTTCCGCTGCCCACCGCCCGCCGCTCCGGAGCGCGGCACTTGGGCACCTCGGGACGGCACCCCCTCCCCCTGACGACGCCTCGCCCGCTCCCCCACCCCCCGGTGCCCGCCTGCCCGCCCCGGGCTCCCCCACCTCGGGCCGGCGCTGGGGGTGTGGCCAGGCCCTCTATAAAGTCCGGGGCGCCGGCCAGGAGCCGCACAGCCCCCCGCCCTGCCGCCTGCTGGGCCGTGCGAGGATGCGGCGCTGCGCCCCGGCCGCCAGGCTTGCTGCGCTCGAGCGCGCTCGCTGACCCCGCCGCGTCTCCGCCGGGCACCCCTCGCTCGGTTCTCCCGCGCCCCGCGCCCCGCCTCGCCCGGCCATGCTGTCCCTCGGCCTCGTGGCCGCCTTGCTGTTGGCCGCAGGGCCCGCGCGGAGCCTGGGAGACGAGGCCATCCACTGCCCGCCCTGCACGGAGGAGAAGCTGGCGCGCTGCCGCCCCCCGGTGGGCTGCGAGGAGCTGGTGCGCGAGCCGGGCTGCGGCTGTTGCGCCACTTGTGCCCTGGGCTTGGGGATGCCCTGCGGGGTGTACACCCCGCGCTGCGGCTCGGGTCTACGCTGCTACCCGCCGCGCGGGGTGGAGAGGCCCCTGCGCACGCTGATGCACGGGCAGGGCGTGTGCATGGAGCCCGCGGAGATCGAGGCCATCCAGGACAGTCTGCAGCCCGCCGGTAAGGCGCCCGCCCTCCCCGGGGGCGTGAGACGTCCCTTGCGAGGCGGCAGGGACGTGGCAATCGGGTCCACCTGGCGCGGGAGGCCCTGGCCGCCAGCTGCCACCCCCGGGGGGAACTTCGTCCCGTCCATCGCCCGCCGCCTTCGCGGGCGCCCGTCTGGGAAGCGAGAGCTGCGGGGCTGGTGGGGCAGCCGATGCTAAGAGGCGGAGCGAGGGAGCCTCGCCAGCTAAGCCCGCAGCCACCGTCTGGGCCTGGAAAACCAGAGGGCCAGGCGGGGTTTGGGGAGGCTGCTTTCTTGTTCTTGCTCCTCTCTGGGAAGTGAAACCCCGGGAGTCTGAGGAGCCTGGGTCTGGACCCCCCCATCCTCCACGGGGTGGCCCCCAAGGGCGCTGGTGAGGGGTCAGGCTCGCCCCTCTCTGGAGCCCTGGGCCACAGCCCAGGAACGGCAGGGGTCTCGGGGCAGCCTGCACCTCTGTTCCCGCTGCTGTGCTGCTCCGGCTTCCTCCTTTCAGGTGCCACCTGAGGTCGCAGGAGAGAGATGTCTGGCCACCCACCCGGTGCTGCAGAAAGCTCAGGGATCTGGAGAGGGGGACAGAGACAGGGACAAGGACAGACTCGTAGCAGGTCTTCCCCCTGCGCTCTGCACTCTCTTGGACACGTGTCTCAGTCCCTTTGTCCTTCTGCGGTTTCCTGCGAGCTGGAGCTGCTGGCCTGGGATCCCACCCTGCCCTCCTGGCTTCCTCTCCTTGCCTTCCCCCTTTCTTTCCGGCCTTGCCTGATTTCCCATCCTCTTTTGCTGCCGCCCCGCACCTCCTGCTCCCTCACCCTGGCAGTGTCTGTCTTTCTGGGCATTCGTCTGCCTGTGTGTCCGCCCTGGCTCTGTCCCCTGTCCGCTTTGCTGTCTGGGTCTCTGCCTCTCTCTCCCGCTGCCCGAAGCCTCCATTGTTGCCTTCCGGATGCTGGAACTCCGGCCCCAGCTTCCTGTCCCGGGATGCCTGCACTTCCTCAATCCTCTGCAGCCTGCTAGAGAGGAGAGCAGGATGGGGAAAACAGGAAGGAGTGGACCCCAGGGGTCTGGGCCTCGGGCCTCTCTGCCCTTCCTGCCCCTGGGCACCAGAGATGGCTCAGCAGAAAGCGTTCTGGGAGAAATGCCAGCCTGGCACCTGGCGCTTCTGGGAAAGGGGATCCCGGGGGACCCTGGGGCATGGATGCCAGGGGCAGTGCGACAGCTGTGTGAGCTGAGCCTGGGCTCCGGGTTATGGTGGGGCCACCTTCCCCGCAGTGGGGCTCGGGCAGCAGATGGGCTGGCTGGTACCTGCCTCTGGCACCCACTTGAACAGAGGCAGAAAAGCTCTGCTGTGCCTTCCCTGCTCAGGCAGGAGCCCTGAGGGGCGTGAACAGACTGGCCTCCAGGCGCCCGTTAGGTCCCCCATGGGTGACACAGCCCCTCCGTCCTTGTCCTTCACCTGTGCCGTGGCATCTGGAGAGGGAGAAGGCGAAGCCAGGAGGACCCTGGCAGAGTGGGGCTCCTGCCTGGCAAGCTCCACCCATGCCTCTTTCTCAATTGCTGTCAAGGAGGCTCCGTCCACTCTGCATGAGCCAGGCTGCGTTGCATTATGGGAAAGGCACCCTTGAGCTGTGCAGTGGCCCTGCAGGATGTCTGGAAGGGAACTTGAGCAGGGTACAGGCCCTGTCCCCATGGACCTTTGTCCCTCTTTTTCTGAACCCAGGCATTTCACACTGAGCTACAGCCTGCGCTCTTTTTCTGGATTCATTTTGCAAGTTAGGATTTCCCTAAATCACTACATTCAGGCTGGGCTTGAATTTAGGATCCTCCTGCTTCAGCCTTCCAGAGCGCTGAGATTACCGTGCACCGCCCTTCCCAGTTCTCACTGTCCTGTTTAACCTTATGTTTTCTGCAGGCCCCTGTTTCTCTCTGGTCCCTGGACTTGGGCCCGCTGTCCCAGAGTAGCTTGGTAGAGGTCAGGCTATTTTTTTGCCCTTTACTGCAGGGCCGTGCCAGAGCAGGCGGTCTGGGTGGGGTGGTCTCCTGGCAAGTGCCCTCTTTGCCCTTTTGCCCCAGGGTCAGGTGCCCCCTCTCATTGTCACTGTTGGCCACTGGAGCTGAGGGTGGACCTGTGCATCAGAAGCATGCGATTCAGTGGGTGGCACTGACCCTGGACTCAGGTGGGGACATCAGGCTGGGGAGGAGGGCTCCCTGTCTCGGACAGCATGAGGGACCGGGAAGCCTGGGTTAATTTTTAGTCAATGCAGCAAATATTGTCCTCTCTGCTTCAGTGCTGGGAATCCAGTCGGGTCCTGGGAACAGGCCCTTCCCAGAAAGTCCATGCCCTGGGGGAGGGAGGAGGAGCTGGGCTCAGCCTTGTTCCTCAGTGTAGGCAAAGCCCAGGCTGCGGAAGCCTCCAGGTTACAGACAGAGGAGGGTGGGATACAGCACAGGGTTAGGGTGGTGGCCAGGGTGTTGACACTGTGGGCTGGGGAGATAGTCGGGAGTGGAGAGGGTCGCTTGACCCTGGCACCTTCTGCTGCCCTTTGTGGATGGAGCCACCTGCCTTAGCAGTGACAGGAGGGGACCCCCATTGAGCAGACCTCCTGGCCTGGAACCCAACCAGGGAAGTCCTGGGGAGGAGGAGAGGAAAGGCCTTTCCTGGCAGGGCAGTGGGCGACCCTCTGGGGCACAGCAGGGGCACCCAGCTCCTAGCCTTTGTGAACACGGGGGTGCAAAATTGGGGTGAGGGGAAATCTTGGGGTGACATCAGGCAGCTGGAACTTTGTAGCCGCTGCTGCCCGAGCTCTGAGCTCCTCACCTCCTCTGCTGCCTGACTGAGTGCAGAGCCTGGCTCTCCTCGGCAGATGGCGGTTGGCCCAGCTCCCAGCCAAGCCGCTCCGGAAGCTTTGCCTCCCACTGCAGCTTCCCAGGGTCAGACCCCTAAGGAAGATGTCCCACTTCGGCTTCTTCTTGGAGGGAGACAGGGTCACTGGGATGTTTGCAGGGGGCATGGCCTGGGGAGTGGCTTGGGAGGGTCATGTTTTCCAGAGACATGGTACTCCAACCTGCACCCCCAAACCCGCTGCCCGGCGAGCATGGCTGGCCAGGGGAAGTTACAGATTACGTGGAGAGTCAGCATCAAGGCTGAGAGTCTGGTGGGCCATGTGCTGTGCCTGGGGGTCTGGGTCAGAGAGTGGGGTGTGTGCATGGGGACCTCAGAGATCTGAAAACCTGACTGTTTATGATTCCAGCTGTCTGTGCAGGAGGATAGACACAGACTTGGTGTCCCTGTGCCCTCGGGTGAGGGTAAGGAGCCACTTTACAAATCTGCTAAACTCAGATATAATCTAGGGACCAGTGGGCTGGGGACTCCAGCTCTGCAGAGGCCAGGTAGGCTGACATGTGACACAGGCTCCCCCCCCCCCCCCCCCCCGCAGCAGAGCATGGGGTGGGACAGCTCAGCCTCCGGGACCCTAGCTCTTGGCAGGGTCACCCTCCATAATGATGAAGGATGATCCTGGAGGGTCAGTCTTTGTGAGCTCCCCTCATAGCAAGGCCAGGGTCTCCTTGGACCTCAGGGCTGTGGTCCAGCCTCTGCCCTATGTCCGGCTCAGTTCTGTTCCGTGGGAGCCAGGGTCTCGCTGTGTAGTCTGGGCTGGCCTCGAGCCCACTATGTAACCCAGGCTGGCCTCAAGCTCGTAGCGATGGTCCTGTCTCATCCTCTCAGGTGCCAGGCTGACAGGCAGCTGCCCATGGCTTGCTCAGCTCTCCACGGAGGGGGACTTCCTACGTCACCCCTTTTTTGGAGGACTCTTTCTTGACCCTGAGCTGGAGCCAGAGCTCCTCCCATTTATCAACAGGAAGTATCACAGTCATGGTTTCCTCCACGGTGGCAAAATCAAAGCACACCTGGCTGGCAGAAAGGCTTTCTAGGTGGCAAGGGACCCCCCTGGACTCATGTCCTGGTGACCCTGCCAGCCTTATCCAGGGCGAGTGGCCTCTGTTCTTCTGTGTCTTAACCTAGCGCTCTGCTGGACAAAACCCCCCATCCCAGGACCCTCGCTTGCTCAGGTTTGCCGCTGTGGGTTCTTTTCTGAGTGTGGGGGCTCCATGCCTGCTGACCTGGCTCCCTTTTTCCCTGGGCCTCTGCCCACCCCTCCGGAAGGAGAAGCACAAGCTGAGAACCAACCCCCAGCCTTGGCTAAGCAGAAAAATACCGTTTGACCCAGAGGCAGCTGTGGGGAGTCCTGCCACGAGTGAACAACCTGCTAAGTCCTCAGGAAAAAAAGTCTTGACACAAACCAGATGTACCCTCCTGTCCGGCTGCCAGCATCTGGAATGCTGCTGGCAGAGCCTCGGCACTCGGGGCCTCAGCGAGCTGCCAAGCCTCGAGTCCTGTGTCTGCGCTGGCAGTGGGAGAGGAAGGAGGCAGGAGAGCCAGTGAGGGCCCGGAGAGTCCCCAGAGGGGGTCAGGACCAGCTGCTGGTGGGGGCTGAATCTGGGGTGAGACTTAGAGGTCCAGGGCTGGGGGCCATGTGTGTGGCCCTTCTTTGGGTCCTGGGGCCACGCCAGCTGGCATGCTCCCTTGTACACAGATGCACACACTTCCCTGTGCAAGCATGCACATGAACCCTCATCCAGGCTGTGGGGAGAGCCTGCCCTGAGACAGGACGGGAGGGTGAAGCAGATGGCCAGGCGGGTAGGGGGAGTGATGAAAGGGGTACAAGACCTGGTAGGCCTGGCCCCACCCGGACAGGCCTCAGACCTCCCTGCAGGGCCCAGGGGACCCTCCTGCAGCTGGTGACTCATCTGAGGGCTGGCCCTGGTAGGGCCAGGGGCAAGCCGAGGTCTGGGAGGAGCTGGGGCGGAGCCGGGCTATTTTCTGCCCGCCTTCCCCCCCCCCCGGGGGGGCTCCCGGCCAGTCCCCAGCGCCAGGCTGCAGGACCCTGGGGTAGGGTGGGGAGAAGGCAGGTGCGGGGCGTGTGGCTGTCCTTCTGGGCCGCTGACCCCTACCATTTTCGCCCCACCTCCCAGACAAGGATGAGGGCGAGCACCCCAACAACAGCTTCAGCCCCTGCAGTGCCCAGGACCGCAGGTGCCTGCAGAAGCACCTGGCCAAGCTGCGTGACCGGAGCAGCAGTGCCGGCAAGATGAAGGTCGTCGGGGCGCCGCGGGAGGACGCACGGCCCGTGGTGAGGACGCGCATGCGCACATGCACAGCCTGTTACACAGACGCACGTGTGCACACACGCATCTTGGTCATGTTAGGCCTGCAATTGCGGGCTCAGTGCTTACGATGGAGGGGGGGGGGTTTTCCGGGGCCCAGGCCTGGGCTGCACGGGTCAACCCCACAATTCAGTGCTTGTGTCTCCCACCTGGTGTCCCCCCACTCCCGGGTACCCACACTGAACAGCCCTGTGCGCCCCTCTCAGCCGCAGGGCTCCTGTCAGAGCGAGCTGCACCGCGCCCTGGAGCGCCTGGCCGCCTCGCAGGGCCGCACCCACGAGGACCTCTTCGTCATCCCCATCCCCAACTGTGACCGCAACGGCAATTTCCACCCCAAGCAGGTGCGTCCCGCCCCGCGTGGGCCCCGGGGCTTACCCCCCATCCCCCACCTGGTGGGAGGGCGTGTTTAGGGAGGGGGTTGTCTTCACCTTGCACTTGACTCTTGGGTCCCCGAACCCGACCCTGTGGAGATGAAGACGCTGCCGAGGCCCAGGAAGACCCCAGATTAAGTCACTGAGGGAGCCTGTGGCACACCCTACTTCCTGGACAGGCTGTGGGGGACAGTCCTGCCGAACCAGACCCATCACCATCGGGCATCGTTAGCCCAGGGACTGAGCTCTGGGCCTTAAGCACTTTTCCACTGAGCTACAGCCGCAGTTTTTTTGTTTTTGACACAGTCTAAATTGCCCAAGCTGGTTCAGATCTTGGGATCCTCCTGCCTCAGCCTACTGAGAAGCTGGGATGCCAGGCATGTGCCACAATGCCTGACTTGGTTTCCCATGTTACTGACATCTTTTATGAGTGTGGTACATGTGATGTATTTGATGAGCCAATATCGATTGATGATTATTAGCTGAAGTCCAAAATTTACATCAGGGTCACTTTGGGTGTTACCTGATCTACTTGGGCTTCTCTGCCCTGTTCCTACCAGAGTGAAAGTTATGGTGTTTGATCCTTTTTTCTCTGGGGCCTCCGGGCTCCCTCCTGCAGCTGACTCTCTCCCCGTGCCCTTTCTTGGCAGTGTCACCCAGCTCTAGATGGGCAACGTGGCAAATGCTGGTGCGTGGACCGAAAGACAGGCGTGAAGCTCCCGGGGGGCCTGGAGGCCAAGGGAGAGCTGGACTGCCACCAGCTGGCTGACAGCTTCCGAGAGTGAGCCGGGCGCAGCGCATCAGGGGCTCCGTGCTGTCCTTCCCTGAGCCCCGGGGCTGCAGAGTTGGCCCAGAAGTTTTTCTTAGGTGTGTGTGTGTGTGTGTGTGTGTGTGTGTGTGTGGACATGAGTGTGCCCAGTGTCCTTTGGGGCTTAGATGGCCCAAGAGGTTCGAGTACGGCAATGGGGAGCCCTGACGTGTTTCCAGATCCATCCTGGATCCATTCATGTATTCATTCACCCATTCACCCACCTGAAAACATTTATTGATCACATGCTATATGCCAGCGCTGGTTCTCACCCGAAGCCGCATCCTGACTCCCTCCCATGTAGGCTTTCGGCTTTCGGTGTTGATAGAATGCTGAGAGGAAAAGAGGTGTGAACACTGCCATCTTTCCTCCCCTCCTCTGGCCAGGCCAGAGGTTGGGAGCCACAGAGGAGGTGCAAGTGGCCCAGGGCAGGGCCCCCTAGCAGGCACCTCTCACCCACCTTCAGACCTGGGCTTGGGGAGGGCTTTCAGGGAAGGGCAGGAGGCAGCCAGGTGTATGTGCTGGGGTGAGGCAAGGTTTCACTGGGTTCTGTTCCCTCCCCTTCAGAGGGACCCCAGTTCCCTGGAGTAGGGGCCCTGCCGGTGACTCTGCCTCTCTCCCCATCTCTGTTGCCCCTACTCCAGCCCCCGGGTATTTCCGGCTTGGCTGAAGGGCATGTGACTTGGGGACCCGCTGGCTGCCTGTGATACCTTTCTTTTCTTTCTTTCTACCTTTTTTTTTTTTTTAAATAAAACAGAACAAAGCCAAAAAACATCCAGATCATTGTGTCTGCTTGATTTATTTACAGAGATGCTGCAGGGGTGGGGCGAGGCGGGCAGTGTGCAGTGCCCAGTTTTGCCTGAGTTGCAGAGGCTGTGGGGCACCAGGCCCCTCTCCTTCCTGCCTGCAGAGCTGGGGTGCTCAGACCCCTGAGGGGCGGGGGCGGGGCCAGGATCAGTGGGGCATTGTTCAGGGGCCTGGCAGCTGGATCCACATCTGGGTTTGGTTTAGTGTTGCTTGGGTGGTGGGGGGAGGGGAGCAGCAGCGTATCCCAGATTCCTGACGGGGTGGGGGGTGGGGGGGTGGGAGTGTGCTGACCCGTTTTGATCCTGAAGCTTTGGGAATGGAGACATCTTTACCTTGATGTAGGCTGAGCATTTATGCCCAAGTGTTTTCTTTTTGGAGGTACGGGGGCCCAGGGGTGCTTCTGCTGCTGAGCCACTTCCCAGCCTCTTCCAGTTTGTATTTTGAGACAGTCTTGCTAGGTTGCCCAGACTTAGCAATCTTTCTGCCTCAGCCTCCCGAGTAGTTGGGGTTATAGATAGGGGCCTCTGTGCCTGGCACACTTTGTGCCCACATGGATTCTTACCCCTGCCCCAATGCTGCTCCTGCTCACACCACCACCTCCTGCCTCCAGGAGGGTTGCCAGGTCTCACTGCCCCCTGACTCCGCAGTACTGGCGCTGCCTGTACGTGGGGAGGTGTGTGTAGCTCTTGGGGTCCCCGCCAGGGCTGGTTGGGCAGAGGTGGCACAGGTTGCTGATGACATCTGAGGTCTGAAGGCCAGTGAGGAAGTGACCCTTCCCAAAGCCCCTCATCCGTGACCTCGGGACTTTGGCAGGAAGCTTCTCTTACAGTGAGCTCAGTGCCTGCCAGGCCCAGGCTTCGGTCCCCACCAGGCACACATGCACACGTGTGCCAAGAAGTAATCAGGGTGCCCTGAGGTGCGCCTCTGTGAGCCACGTGTCTGCCTGCATGCACACACGCCTGTGTGTGTGCAAAGGTGCCCTGGTGATGCTGGAGTTCCGTGCAGACTGGCACACGCTCGTGTGAATGCCCACTGGGTGTGCGAGCCCGGGTGTGTATCTGGGTGTGAATGTGTGAGGTGAGCAGAGAGATGGAGGCATTCACAGCACAGCACAGCAGGTGTTCCCGGGGCCCACACTCATCCAAGGTCCCCTCTGAGGGGCTGTGGGGAGGTGTCCAGCACTTCGGGGGAGGGCCCACATGCTACCTGGAGTCCACACCCCTGCTGGACACCTTGCTCCTACAATGAGGATCAAAGGGAGGAAACGTCAGTCTAGGCTTGGTGGTGCACTCTGGAGGCTGAGGCAGGAGAATCACTGTGAGTCCGAGGCCAGCTGAGGCTTTATAGTGAGGTCAGGGCCAGCCTGCGCTGCAGAGTGAGACCCTGTCTCCAAACAGACAAACAAACCAAACAAAAAAGGGCAAAACTTCTGCACCCAGACCTACCTCCGCTTCCGGATGCCCTTGAAGGCCCTCAAGGTGCTGCAGGGGAGGGGGCACCACTGGCAGCATGGGAGGGAGGTGCAAAGTCTAGACAGCTGTGTCTCATGGGCCACCCTATGGGGTAAGCTCAGTGCTGGGGCAGAGACTCGCCCTGGGGACGCCAGCTGCTGCTCCGCGTTGCTCTGTAATTTGGTTTCCATTTCCACCTGTATTGCTGCTGGGGCTGAGTTTCCATGGCAGGGTGGGGTCTGGAGGGGACTCCAATGGTTCTGGTGGGGGGACCATCCCCCCATCAAGCTCCTGCAGCTTGGTCGCTGACCTTGGGGAAAAGCCGAGGGTCCTCAGCCCTCTGCCCTGGGGCCGGATTCTGCCCCCAGCTGCTCTGGGAGTGTACAGGACGAGGGGGCTGTGTGTTCCCTCACTGGGGGACACTCATCCCCCTTCTGGGGGACCCTGAAACATCCCCAGCAAGAGGCTCTAACTTTGTGTCCTGGAACCCCAGGGTGGGGTCCCCTCTGACCTAGAGTTGGGGGACAGTGGTTGGACGGAGCTGGGTGACCTGTCCCCTCTGTGTGCCCTCTGTGCCTGAGGGTCCCCGGGGCTGGGGCGGTTGTGGTCAGTGAGCAGGAGTGAGGGGTGCTGCACCCCACAGTCAGAGCTATGCTTTACTGTGGGAGCGGATGCCCAGGACCCCCACCCCTCTGGGGATCTGGCCGGCTTCAGCGGGGGAGGGGTGGAGGCCTGGTGCAGGGCGAGGCTTCCAGGCCTTCCACAGTCTCTGAAGGCAAACAACATATTTTCACCATGCAGTGGTGTTTAATTACAATAAAAACAGAGCCATTAAACTGAAATTAAACCCTTGTTGGAATCGCTTAATTCAGGGCATGACAAATTGCTGTTAGTGGAGGCGGCTGAGGTCCCCCGGGCTGGGGAGTGGAGGAGATGCAGATCAGAGGCTTCCTCAGTGGCCCCCTTTGCAAACTCTAAATTCTCCAATGGAGGCCAGAGCCCTCTTCCTAGGGACCACCTAGGCCAAGGGGACACAGCCAGATGACAGACACACAGTTACTGCCCCCCCCCCCGCCCGTTTTCCAGATGGGGACACAGAGGCCCAGATGCCAAGGCCACCCCTGGCCAGGATTAGGTGGGAGAGAAGCGGGGGTGCATGTCCTTTTCCTGCGTCCTGGTCAGAGGGTCCTCCGGCCAGGCTGGGGTTAGGTTTCCTGTCCCCTTGGGGCCGTTCCCCTGCCGGCCTAGCAGCCCTGCAAACGCCTCACAGCTAGGCCACTATTGGTACCCCAGAGTCCCGAGATGCCCATGGAGGCCGGGAGGGTTGGACACATGCCAGGGCAGCTGCCCGCTGGCCATGGTCGCTGGGGCGGTGGGATTGAACAGGAAGGGGATGCCCCGGAAACAGGTGCCGCCATCCTGGGAGTCAGGGCTGCTGGAGGGAGGACAGCTGGGGATGGTGGGAACCAGTGCTGTCCCTCATCCTGACCTGGAGCTCGGGGTCTCCGCCTCCCTTCCGGCTCCTACTCGGGAGGGGAAAATGAGAGCTGACCGCTCAGGAAATAGGCTCAGTTTTCCAGCCTCATGGGAGCTTAGTTGGACAATGGAGCCCCCCCCCCCCAAAAAAAAAACCCAAAACAACAGCAAAACAAAGAGTCCAGCTGCCTTTAGCTGAGCCATTCCTGGACGTCACCTCTCAGCCATGGTCCAAGGCTGCTCATTCAAAGTCGCCCAGGCCTGGACACTGGGCCAGGTCAGCGCGCAACCTGGGTGTCTGCTGCCCGAAGCCTATGGGGTCGGTTCCAGGGGCCCCTGTGGCCTGGGCACTGGTGTCAATGTGGTGTGAGATTAGGGACTGAGAGTCCCCAGCCCCAGTGCCAGGTCCCGAGGCCGATGTTAAAGGTTCTGCATTTCTGTCTTCTCTTTGCTTTTTCTGGTGGAGGAAGGGACAGTGGCCTCTGGAACGCACATGTCACCCCTGAGTGGGGACAGTCTCGGAACTGTGACCAAGAAGAAGGCCCGGGCACGTCTGTGCAGGTGGTGGCCTGGCAGGGGATGTGGGCTTCTCCTCTGCCTGGCCCCTGAGGAAGGCAAGGACCCAGCCTTAGGTGGCTTGGGCTTTGCCTGTCCAAGGGCAGTGCTGGGCTAGGACAGGGCTGGGTCAGAGGCTGGGGCAGCATCCCAGTCCCAATATCTCCCAGGAGGCCAAGCCAGGCCAAGGGTGCCTTGGATACTCACAGAGGAAGGGCCACTCGGGCAGCAAAGAGGTGAGGGCTTGGATGAGCCACAGTCCCGGGGAACGGACGGCTATGTATGGGCACAAGCAGCAGCTGGGGGCTGCAAACCTAGGTGGGGGGGGGGAGTTTTGTCACCAGCTCAGGGGCAGAAGAAGGTGATGGAAGGGGTCTCCCTATGAGCCAGTGTTTCCTGTAAGGTTCCTTCAGCCCCTCCATTATGCCTGGTGCCAACCTCAGGAACTTTGCACATGCTGTTCCTGAATCACTCTTGCCCCTGGCTTGTCAGCTTTTATCCAGATGTCACCTCTTTTGAGGGTTCCTTGCTGGCCCTCCCAGGCAGGACATCTCCCTCCACGCTACTTCCTCCCACACTTGCTTCCTGTATCAGGTGGTGAGGTTTCCTCAGTTGCTATTTTCTCTGTTTTTCTAAATGCCGCCATGCCTGTCTTGTGCCTCCTGAGCCGGCTCCTGCTGGGGGCAAATGACCAAGGGAAGCATCTGTGACTGGTGGCCTCTGTCCGTGGGCCCAGAGTCCTTGTCCAGCTCCCAGCTGTGGCCACTCGCTTCCTTTCTTCTTATCCTGCCCCTGCCATCCTGGGGACAGCTCTGGTGGCAGGAGACACCTCCGGAGACAGGAAATCTCCGTGAGACAGGAAGCCAGGGGTCGGCTGTGCTGGGGGGCAGGCGACTGCAGCGCACAAGTGCCTGCTTCCAGGCAGAGAGGGGGACAAGCGAGTGATCGTTCCAGTGTTCTGAGCAGCTCAGGGCTGGGGACAGAGTAGGACAGGGGATTTAGTCTTTACTGGGGAGAAGTGGACAGCTATGTCCTTGGAGGCAGGGGACTGGCTCTGCTGAACTCGCTCCTCCTCGTCTTCATGTTTGGGTACACAGGGCCTGGGTGCGAATCCTACTGTGCCATCCACAATGGTCGCCCATGGGAAGCTCTTTAACATTGCAATCCATAGCCCCACACCTGACTAAAGTCCTGGGACCTGCGGGGCGCAGCCCAGGGACAGGAGATGACAGGGTGAAATGTCCAGCAGAGTGGACTGTGGCCTGAGTACGGCGGTGACCAGGTGCAGCCCCGGACCTCGTGGGCACAGCAAGTACTGGGGAAGCGGGGAGCAGATTCCTCAGCCTCTTGGGGCAGCAGGCTTAGGTGGAGGGGAGGCTCTGCTTCCTGAGGCTGGGACCCTGGCCTGACCCTGAGGAGGGTGGCGGGGTGGGGGCCTCACTGGGGCCAGGCCCTGCAGAGAGGAGCTCTGGATGGGTGAATGCTGTCTCCAAGATTCACCGAGCCCAGGTGACTGTGTGGATGTGACGGGAAGCATCCCAGGTGATGGGGGCTGAGTGAGGTCCTAGAGGCGGGGTCAGTGCAGTGGGATGGGCAGCTTCCGAGGAGGAAGAGAAGGGTTTCCAGGAGGCAGAGGCAGGAGAATCTTGAGTTCCAGGCCAGCCTGGGACACACGAGCCCAAGCCAGCCCTGCACACACTCGGAGGTGAGCCACGTGAGAAGGGACCCAGACCCAGTGCGGCCTGTGGGGAGCCAGAGTCCCTCTTCTGGGCCTCATCCCACTGGCCCTCCTGACGCAGGTCCCAGATGCTGGCTCTGCACCCCAGCCTCACTAGAGTACAAATACACTCTATTCCTCCCGGCCCCAACCTCTGTTTTATCTACAGGATGAAGTCCAAGCAGGTTGCCATGTGCAACTGTGCACTGCACAGCCTGAACAATTGTATGAGTGGTCCTGTGTCCAACCTCATTCACCCACTCAGAAACATTCTTTTTTGAGCCTGCTGAGGTGGCACAGGCCTATCACCCCAGCACTCAGGAGGCTGAGGCAGGAGGATCCTTGCAAGTTTGAGAGCAGCTACAAAGTGGGCTACAAAGTGAGTTCAAGGCCAGCCTGAACTGCACAGCAAGACCCTGACTCAAAAAGACAAAACAAAATCCCATTCACCCTCAGCTGGTTACCAAGGTTCCTGATGACCCTGTAAAACAGAACTAAACATACAACATGCGTCCTGTACATTTAGCACGTAAGATCCCCTCCAGTAAGAGCTGGTTATCCTCTTTGCCTGTCAACTCCTATCCACCCCTGAAAACCCAGCTCAAATGTTACCCCCGGGGTTAATACCACTCTGTTCCTTCCCGGTGTGGGAAGCATCCTGGCCTGTGGGCCTTCTTCCTGCTCAGCCTGCCTGCTGCTGGGAAGCACAGGCTGCATGAATGGGGGCCTCAGGTGCTGATTGGCAGCCTCTGCCTCCTGCCCAGGCACTGAGCTCACACACTGTGGGGCCACACAGGGCAAAGGCCCAGAGGAGGGTGCAGATGGACAGTTCATGTGAGTGGGTGGGGCCGGTGCCAGGGGACAGGAGTCCAGTCAGAGGGTACAGGGTGAGAGGTCGCTGGTCCTGCCAGAGGAGGCAGGGCATAGGGCGTGGGCATCAGGGTGGCCTCTGCGGTGACCCAGCCTCTGGGACACAGTGGGAGGGAATTAGGCTGGAAGGCGGATCCTCTGCGGCCCTGCACCACCGCTTGGTGACCTTTTGTGCCTTGGGGTCCGGAGGGGGCACTGCCTGGGACAGGCGAGGGGTGGGGGCGCACAGCCAGCTGGCAGCAGCCAGAGAACCCGGGGCCCGGGAGCTGTAAAGGGGCCATTGTCCAGCGCAGCAGGCCTGGGCCGGTGGCTCAGGTCAACAGGGTTCAGGGCTTCTTCTGGACTCTCTGGTGACCCTGGCCTCTTGGGGCAGCACAGGGCCAGTGCCCAGGCTGCTGGGGCATGGCCTGGAAACCCAGCCCTCCTCCCTGGCAGGGCCAGGGGGACAGAGTGGTGCAAGTGGCTGTGACACAGGAGCCTGTGAGGCACACCTGGTCTTGAGGTGACCACCTGTCACCTCGTGTTGGGGGCCCCATCTTCAAGGATACAGCCCCATGAGCTTCGGGACCAACCACTGTGCAGCGCTGGATGCTTTATTTCTGGTGATGGGAAAGACAGTCATTTACAGTGCCGGGGGACCCCACCAGCCCCACATCTGAACGTGGGCCCGGTGGGTGGCCGTCCAGTCCCAGACTCCCACCAGTAGGGGCCCTGCAGTCCCAGCTCCTCTCCGAGCTGAAATCACAGCTTCAGGCCCGACTTCAGCTCAAGATGCTGCTGCTGCTCTTGCTGTGCACCCCGCCTCCTGCCCCACACCGTTTCTTGGGGAGCCCAAGGCTGCTGGAGAAGCAGCTGCTGTCTCTGGGGCTTCCTCCCGCTGGTGGAAAGGGGCAGAAAAGACTCAACTTTGAAGAGACCTTCGAAGAGAGGCAAGTGGACGCTTTGCATTCTTGACTCTCTGCTGCCCCCTGGTGGCTGTGATGCCGGTGGTGGCTGCGGGGCTGGAGGGTTGACCCGGGCAGGGCTGCCCCTCCCTAGGGTCCCTGGGGTCCCTAGGTGTGAGGGTCTTGGGCAGAGGACCCAGCAGGACTGCACTGAGGCCCAGCTGCCGCCAGACGCAGACCCCTCCAAGCATCCCTAGAGCTCTTCTGTCACCGCCCACACCTCCCACTTGGCGACAGTCACAGCAGCCACCCCTGGACAGGTGGATTCCAAAGGACGTCAGGAAAGTGGGGACAGGACAGGCACCGGGGACACACAGCCTGTCCCTAGCCCTCGCTCACACGTCACCAGCCTCAGGGTGAGAGCAGTCCGCCTCTCCCCAGCCACCACACCGGTGGGGCAGCAGGGCAGGCAGAAGCTTCCAGGAGCCCAGCGGCCAGGGAGTGCGGGGAGTCCAGCGCCCACTACGGCTTCTCGGCCGCTTGCAGCAGCACCTTCACAAGGCTGATGACATGCGAGGCCGGCTGCACCGTGTCGTACTCTGCGAAGAGGTGGCACACGTTCTCCTGCCGCTCCGTCTGGGTCTTGGCCACAAACCCGAAGATGCTGTGGTGGGGGGGTGCAGTGTGAGTGCAGTGGAGTGGGGGGCTTGAGGAAGGGGTGTCAGGTCCCGCCCAGCCCCTGGGTCTGCCACCCCAAGTTCAGGCTCCTGCTCTCCTCCATTCTGCGGGGGAATCAATCCCTGAGGACAGGAGGCTGCCTGAGGGCAGGGTGGACCCCCAAATCAGACTGGAGCCCCCTATAGGCCAAGACTCCCGAGTAGAGCCTGTGTCTCTGGAAGAGACTGAGGGTGTCCCTTGGGCGGGGACTTCCCTAGGACAGGGCCTGTGTGTCCATTCATGCTTTGGCCTCTGTATTTCTTCCAGTCCTGGGGGTTAAAATCAGGGGCTTCCCATTAAGCACTATCCCCAGCCCTTTAAAATTCTTTATTTTGATGCAAGGTCTCACTGAGTTGCCCGGGTTGGGCTCCACCTCATGATCTTCCTGCCTCAGCCTCCAGAGCACTGGGATGACAGGTGTGCACCACGGCGGCACCCAGCCTCAGCCTTTCCAACACCGTGAGCCCCTGAGGCAGGATGGGGCCTCCCTCGGTGGGTCTGGAACCCATCACAGGGACCCCTCATGGGATGGTGGACTGGGGGGTGTTGGGCCTTACCGGGAAGACTTGCAGTACTTCTGCCACCTGTGGGAGAGAACATGCAGGTCCTGAGTAAACAGACTCCACTCCACCCCACAGAACCCTGCCCACAGTGCCTGCCTGCCTTTAGGTCTCTCCCTTCCCAGCTTCCTCTGCCATTGAGGTCCCAGGGAGGCTGCCTCCTGGCTCAGCCCCACCTGCACTTACTTCCGCTGCTCGGGGTCCAGGCCGCAGAAGCGCAGGGTGCTGAGCGGGTAGTGACGCCGGAAGAAGACCCTGGGCGGGGGCAGAGAGAGTAGGGACCTGGTGAAGTCTGTCCAGCAGCTCAGCTTTGCGGCCCCCCTGTCACCCTGCCTGCCTGGGGCCCTTACTTCCTCTGGACGTCGGTCAGTGTGATGCCCTGCTCGGTGACTCTGAAGTGGACCACAGTGGGCGTGGGGAGGACGTCCTGCTCCAAGGTGGTCGAGATGGCCTTCTGCACGGCCAGGGCCCCACTCAGGGTCTCCACGCTCACCGAGCTCAGGTACAAGCTGTGGCAGCCTACGGGCCCAGACACAGTGCTGGGGGTGGCTCCGGACCCCGTGGGATGGTCCCTGCACCCCCTGCAGGAATCCTGCGGGGGTGGGCGACACCCCCTTTGCACTGTCCTGGCCTCCAGGGTAGGACGGGAGGGAGATGACATTGTTTAGAGGTTGCTGAGGGGTGTCCGGGAAGTCTGTCTGGAACACCGCTGCCCCTGCTCACCATGCAGGGGACAGAGTACAAGATGGTAGCAGTGACCCTGAGCCAGCTGTCACCCAGGGGAGGGGAAGGCTGACTCTGCCGGGCTTTTGTCCTCTAGTGCTGGGGTGTGCTTTCCCGGGTGGTGCATGCCTGGACCACGGTGGGGTGAGGGGCACATGGCCAAGCTGCGGGAAATGTGAGGGCCCGTGTGCCAGTGTGCCAGCGCATGCGCAGGGCTGGGCGCCCGCTTGACACTCACCTGCAGATTGTTTCAGGCAGGCAGGGTTGTCTGTTGGGAGATCTGCGGCTCCATCTGCAGCTCCCAGCTCTGAGCCAAGGTGAAGGAACAGTCCCCAAAAGGCGGACGGGGTTAGGGGACCCCTCAAGGGTCCCCGGACCCTCTCCCAACCCCAGTCTCCAGGAAGTGAGAAACCATGCGTGGGGACTGCGATTATGCAAATGGGGGTCGCTCCGGGCTCCCAAGGGCCCAGCCTGCAAGCCCTGGACCCCACTCTCCTCCCTGACCCCCATGTCCCAGACTGCGGCCTTGATCTTGAACTCCCAGGCCCCTGAACCCCCCATTTCCTTCTGACTCCATCCCAACCCCAGGTTTCTCTGTGCAGGAAGTGGGGGACCCTCTCATCACCCCTCATCTGGGGTTCTCTGGCCCTTGGTCCTCACCCAGAAACTCCGCTTTTATAGCTTGCCCTGTGGACCTCCAAAATGACCCTTCCCTCTGGGCTGTGCACCCGGGTGGGGTGTGCTCAGTCTAACTCTGTGCCTTTGGGGGCTGCGGTGAGATGCAATACAGTGAGTGCTCAAGAAATGCTGCACCTGGTGAGCTGGGCACCGCGGTATAATCCTTACACCTGGGAGGCTGAGGCAGGAGGACTGCTGCGAGCTGCCGGCCAACTCAAGCTACACAGCGAGTTCAAGACCAGGTGTTTTTTCTTTTTTAAATTTATTTTTATTTTTTGAGTCAGGGTCTCGCTGTGTAAGTCCAGATGGTTGGCCCACGTCGATCCTCCTGCCACAGCCTCCCAAGTGCTGAGATTACAGCCCTGCACTACCCGAGGAGTTAGGGGCAGAAGCGACGCCTGGGGGGGGGGGGGAGGCGGGGTGCAGACCTACCTTGCTGCGGGATAGCAAGCGGGCAGGGCAGGGCCAGGGCCATGATGGAGTGCTGGCACACGAAGGCAGAGAGGCTCCCTGCGAGGGCACAGGCACCGCATGAGAAGGGCTTTCCCACCCCTTGCAGCTCAAGAGGGTGGGAGCCCGCGTCCAGGGGCCCGGAGGCTGGGGGATGCTTACCAAAGTAGGGTTCCTCATCCGCTCCTTTGAGGTGCACCCCTTTGGCAGAAGACTCGATGAGGAAGTGGCGAATAAGGTCACTGCTGTCCTCGCCTGCTGAGGAGAAAGCGCAGAGTACACTGAGCAAGACGAACAGCGCATGCGTGCAGAGCACGCAAGTACACAGAGAAAGGGCGCATGCGTGCAGAGAACACGTATGTACGGAGAAGAGAAAAAGTGCACGCCTGAAGAGAATGCGCATGTGCGCAGAGGAGAAAGGGCACCCGCGTGTTGGCCTGCCCCTCCCTGCCCACCCAGCCTATCCTGATCCCTTTGCAAGGCTTGCGCTACATGTGGACATCCTATGGCCACACGAGGGGCCATCACGTTTGCTCTAGGGCTTCTGGGCCCCAGTATCCGCTAGGAAAACTTTCTTCTGGAAGAGTTATCGGGGATTGTTCATTACCGTGTGGACCGAGCATCAGCTCCTTTTGCGGTTCCCGTCTCCTCCCACCTCCTCCCTGGCGCTGGTGGAAATTTTCCACCAGGTCGTGCCTGCTGGAACCAGGCTGGCTCTGGACTCTCCCCCACCATCTGCATCCTCTTCCCTGACCTCTCCCAGGGCCCGCCCCAAGCTTCCTGGTAACAGAGCCCGCGCCAGCCCGCCTCCTTTTATAAGTTTCACAGAAAGCAGAGTGGGCAGAGCACGGGCTGGGGTTTCTCCCTCGCCCCCTCTCCCGCTCCCGCAGTTACTGTGAGGCCTACTCTGTCATCCGTTACAGGAGAGTCACGGTCCTAGGGCTTCCGGGGTGGGGTGGGGGGTCTGAGGTGCTTGTGCTGGGTTATCTGTTTCCATCCACCTCCCCGAAAAGATGCTGCTCGCCTGGGCCCCTCAGATTCCCTGGTTCCTTAACCCAGATCTTGGCACAGGGAGAGACCCGTAGACGTGTGTACAATATTGCACACTTGCGATAAGCGATTAGGCACACATCATGCTACAACACACAGGTGGTGGGTTATAGGATACACCTGATAAGCTCTCGCCCACAATGGATTGGTCATCATGCTACTTAGACATGTGGTAAGCACACCGGTCATCACATTAGGGGGCCAGGAGATGAGTGTAGTGTGTACACAAAGGGTAGGAGTAGAGAGCAGCCTGAGCAGGGGTTGGACCTGCAGGGAAGGGTGCTTTGCACAGTGCCTCAGGGCTACTGGGAGCTGTCTGGGAGGGGGACTGTCCTTCAGGCATGGCCACAGGACCAGCCTGGGGATGCCTGGTGAGCTAATGCCTGCCGTGTGCAGGAGCCCTGGTGGGAGCAGGCCGATGCATACCTGATCGGTGCTGGGCAGATGCAGGGACCTTCAGGGCCAGGCCGAAGGAGCCTCGGTAGGAGGAACTGTCCCTGATGACGAAGGCCCCTGGCTCCTCCTTCTTCAGCAGCTCAATGGCTGGAATGATTCTTGGATCAGGTGCAGGTCCTGCCCCATGGGGACTCTCCCTCCCTAGCCCCACACAGAATCTTCCTGAGGCAGTGTAACAGGGTGACCTTTAGACTGAGGAAGTCTTCCTAGTGTCCAATCTGCCATTTTTGCTACATTTCTGTTCCCTTGAGAGGTCTGTAGGACACCTCCTTTCTTGGGCCATCTGCCACCCCCCCTTTTTTTTGCCATGATCCAGGGCCCCACCTGCCTGGCACCCAGGTTCTGTTCACCTTGCTCTCTGGTGATGCTTGGCTTAAACCAGTATTTCGATGTATCCATCACAAACTTCATGGTGGGTTGTGTGTCCCTGGCAGGACCTGAAGGCAGAGAGAGGAGGGGAACAAAGTAGGCTGAACTGAAGTTTGTTGGAAGGTGACCAGCAGAAAAAGCTGGGGACTCCACCCTGTTCCTCTGCCCAGAGGCCCCATTCCACCCACCTTCCATGATCCAGACCCAGTGTTATCTCTAAACTGCCTAAAGAGTCAAAACCAGACCGAAGGACTCCAGGACTTGGCACATCTGGGACACAAGCCTCCTAGTAGCCTTGGTAATAAATCAAAAACAGATAACAAACCTAATGTTGCCTGGCAGAGGGACTGGAACAGACCTAAAGGATTCTCCTATGCCTGCCTGACCTCACACCCTGCTCCCCCGAATGAGGCCGACAGTTTCTTAGGGAACCTCTGCTCAGAAGAGAAAACAAGGGAAAAGGCAGAGGGTGGAAGAGTTGTACTCAAAAACCAAGAACCTGGATTCCTGATTTTGTCACATGTATTCAGCACCAAAAGTCCAGAGGGGACCGAGTGGACTGGACAATCCCGAGGGTCTTTAATGCCCCCAGAATGTGTGAACTGAAATGTGTGGAATGTGGTACGATCCTGAAGCATAATTAGTGATCCCCATAGCAGACTGGGAATATCACCCCGCTGGGCACACCGACACTTTAAGATGCCACAGTGCCCATGGTCCTAGGTCCCTGAGGCAGACAGCACTGGTTCTCAATTCTGGTGGTGTAAGGAGGAGTCTATGACCAGTGCACTAGCAAGAAGGCTGCACGGCGACCTGCAAAAGATTTGCCCTGGGACCCCCTCCCTGTGGATGTGCGTCTCACAACCCTGGAGCCACTCTGGAAGCCCCCTCCCGCTGCATGCCACCCTCTTGATGCTTGCGTGGACGTGTGTCTCTTGCCCCTGGAGTCACCCCGAAGCCCTGATGGAGACCCCCGAGGGAGGGGCCTTTGTGTTTACTGCTGTGGGTTCGTGAATTGCATGCCTTTCCGACGTCTTTCGTCTGGGCTCCGGGAAGCAGGGTGTTTGCCATTTTGTGGTTTGGGGCTCTCTCACTTGGAACGCGCTGCCCTGTTCCTCTGCGCAACTCCCCTTGCCCACCCCACCGTGTGCTCGTCATCGTCGGACGTCAGAGCGAGGACAGAGGCTGCCCCAGGCCGTTCCTGGGTTAGTCACCATCCAGAGGGGGCCTGGCTCCGTCCTCTCCGCCCCTACGCCCTGCCTGCCCTGGCTCCCAGCCTTCGACCCATCTGCCCCGCAGCTGCTGGATTAAATAAACCCTCCAGAGTGTACGGCTGACCCCGGCTCCTCCCTGTCTGGGGTCTCTGATCCCTGCTGTCTAAAGGGTGGATTCAACTTTTTGGCTTGGCATTCAAGGCCTTTTGCAGTCTGTCTCCAGATGCCTTCTCAGTGACTTCTCTTGCAACTCCAGTATTAAAGGTATTTCCTAAGCATGCCAGGAGCTTGTACCCCATCATGACTGTGGAGTGCTGTGTCTGTATCACCGAGCCCTTCCTACTCTGTGTGGGTCTTGGTTTTGGTCCATCTGTGTGTCCTTACAACTTGGCACAGTGCCCAGTACACAGGAGGTGCTCAATAAATGTGTCAGCTGGCTGTTCCCAAAGCCCACTGGTGCTCTGGTCTACTTCCCTTACCTGAATCTTCCATCATTTGATGATTGGTTGGGGCCATGGCAGAGAGGGAGTCCGGCAGGGTCTGGCTGCAGCTCTCGGTGGCCGGGCAGGGGTACTTGGGAGGAGCAGCTCCAGCCTGGACCAAGCCCTGGTGTCCTGATGTCTGATGGAGTGGGGGAGACTGAGGTTCGGGACAGCCGTTGATCAGCACAATGGGGATGTCCACCATGGAGTTGGTGATGGACGAGGGACAGCTGCTGGGGTGCTCTGTGGCCAGCGGAAGGGAGTGGGTGGTTCTGGGCTGCACCATGCCCGAGGTGGGGTTGCTGGGGGCCTGCACATCACTGGGTCTCGTGCACGGGGACACGGAACCGAGGCTGTGGAGGCTGGAGGAAGAGCTGGCTGGGCTTTCCAAGGACCTCAAAGATGACTGGTGGCCAGAGCTGCTAGAGTGGACCAGAGACTGGCTGCTGCAGAGAGAGGAAGGACCTGTGTTAGGGACTCCTGTGGGGGCCCTCGTGGCCGGAACCAAGGGATCAGGCTGGAATCAGGCCCACCCAATGCCCAAGGATGGAGAAACGTCCCCGGACTGCAGGGTCTTTGGTCACTTAGCGAGGCCTGTGGGCCGATCCCTGTAGGATTCCCTCTGCTCTCCCAGCTAGAGCCCCGGTTTGCTCCTTCCAAGAGCCCTTGGACAGGTGGACCTGGGGTGGACAGGTCCAAGGTGCACAGAGGGAGCACAGCTGGTAGAGGAAGAGGCAGGGGGGAGAGGCAGGCTTTGCGTGGAGTCAGAGGGCACAGCTGGGGACCCCGGCCTCCCCGACAGGCACTGCCTTGGCCCACACTTTGGAACTGGTGTGTGGGGCCTGGCTTTGGTCTTCCTGGGTGGGTGTGCGATTCTGCCACAGAGTGGTGACAGGCACGCTGGGCGGGAAGCCCAGACAGCACCGGCCCTGTGTTTGCAGTTTTGGAAAGCTCATCATTAGCATGGGCTGTGCCGGGGCTGAAGGTACCCAGGTGACCCTTGAGATCATGGCAGCTTTATCCCCGGGAAGATGTAAGCTGAGATCTCTGTGTTGTGCCCTAAATAGTCGTGGAGAGCGGAGTGTCGGGAAGAGCAAAGAAACACATTTACTCCTGTCATACCGGGTCAGAAGGACAGAACCCACCTTCCGAACACGTAGCTGACGTCGGAACCCGGGCTGGCTGACAGCATGGACACCCTGCTGCCCCGATGAGGCATTAGGGCCGTCAGTCCCTTCTCCAGGCCCGGGGAGGTGATCAATGGGGAGCCCGAGCCAGGGGGGCCTGAGGCCCTGCCCCCCACACAAGGGATGGCGATGCTGGGGGAGGAGCAGGGGGAGGAAGCCCTGCCCTGGCTCCCTGAGAAGATGAGGCTCTCGGAGCTGCTGCGGGTCTCCCGGGGAACGTCCCTGCAGAGGAGGCCGCCACTGCGTGGGGAGCCAAAGGGCGGGGTGACAGATGGGCTAGAGCAGCACGGGGAGCTATCGTGGTACCTCCTTCCAGGGGAAGTCACTTCGATGTACTTGATATCTTGGGAAGACAAACAGAGCACAAGTAAGACTGGACATTCAGGATGCAGACTTGGAAAAGACTCTCAAGAAGGGGTGGGTCACCCTACGATTTTATACAGATGAGGCCCAGACAGGAGAACCAGCACCTGGGGCCTCCTTTGGGGCCCAGTTCTAAATTCACCCCGTCTGTGACGTCCTTGGGGTAGAGATGGGGCTTTGAGTCACTTCAAGCCTTCTCAGTGTCCATACCCATTGGACAGTGTCACCGTGTCCACCCCTTGGCGTCACAGGAAGGGTGGAATGGGATTGGCTGGGGCAGCAACACCACGCCAGGCAGGCGCTGAGGGTCCAGAGTGTTTCCACCATGCCTGTCACTCAGGGCACCCAGGGCTGCCTCCCATCTGCACCCACAGTGAGAGAGGGCTTTCACACTCTTTCTCCCCATGGGGTTCTAAGAGTTTGGCTGCCCCCCGACGCCAGCTGGATCAGACTCTGTGAGGGACCCCTGGCCTCCGATTGATGGGATGGTTTGCATGTTTGCTTAGTTTCCTGGGGAACTCCTGTGCAGGGAGTCTCAACCCCGAGACTCATCCTGGTTGTGTCATGGACCCTGGGCAGGTCCCCAGGGTGGAGTACCAGCTGCACCTCAGCCCCAGGGACCCTCAGGTCCAGTAGTCAAGACCTGGGGGTTCCCTGAGCTCTATGGGACAGAGACAGTGAGAACCCAGCCTGGACTCTGTCTGTGGTCTCCTGGGCCCTGGTCGTCCAGCCTCCATCCTCCAGCCACATTGAGAGCCCGCACAGCCCCAGCCCAGCCAGCCGCCTGGATGGGGCTCCTGGCCAGCTCGCTGAGTGGCTGCCTTTGTCTGGGCCTGCAGGGCATCAGGGGACCCTGTTGCTGACCTGGATTTGCTTCCTACTCCCTGAGGCTGGAGGGAGGAGGACTTGGGGCAATCCTAGCTTTGCTGCCCTTCCAGCCAAGAAGCAGAGGGTAAATGTGGACGCCCTTCTGCTCAGCAGAACATGGCCAGCAAATGCCAGGAGAGCGCTGGGAGCCCTGCAAGGCCGGCAATGCCACTTCCACTTTTATGGGACCTGATAGTGTTTACCCATCTCCACCTTTGGACCTCGGAAAGCCCGGGGCAGGACAGGCTCTGCATTTACAGAGGAGGAAACTGAGGCTAGGATTGCACAACAATTGTTAAGAGGTGACATCTGGGTACCGTGAGCCAGCGAGGCTGTAGCCAGCTGAGGTGTGGGTTTCTTTTTACCCCCTGCTCCAATAGGAACTAGTGTTCATGCCACACACCAAAGGGGAAATCAAGGCCCAGTAAGGTGAGGCGGGAGTCCAGTGTCACACAGCCAGAGACGGTGGCTTAGCTCCATTTAGGGGACTCGTCGGGGAGGAAAAGGGGGCTCCTTGGAACCCTGTACCAAGGCCTTGTCCTCGGAGGAGGTTGCTGGCGTGCTTTAGGAGGGCCTCTTGGCCTGGTGAGGCTCTGCTCCCCCATGTCCTGGGTCACCCCAACACCCCAGCAAAGTGCCCTAGCTGGGGCCGAGTGGGCAGGGAGGGGGAGGAGTCCCGTGCTGTGAGTCACCTAGGAGGATGGTCAGGTGGTGGGGCTCCCACCCTGGCCCTGAGGTGCAGCTGCTGTTTACGGGCTGGAGGGCAAGTTTGGGCAGGGCAGGGTGGTGGAGGCAAGCAGGCACGTGGGTGGGGGGCGGAGGGCGCATGACTGAGTGCCCTGCCCTTGGGGCTGCAGCAAGGCTGGGAAATGAACCGGGGCCTGTGTCAAAGATGGGCTGGGGGGCCTGGGGGAGCAGCGTGGGAGGTTCTAAGAGTCACAGGGGCTTCTAAGAGTCACGGTCCCTGTGAACAGGGACTTCTAAGAGTCACGGTCCCTGTGAACAGGGACTCCATGGGACAGGTCTGAGGGAGTCAGGACTCAGCCACGTGTGGGGAGACTGAGGCTCAGGACGGGACCCCAGGGCCTCCAAAGCCTCCCTATGCGACCCCCCCTCCAAAGAGACAAGACGGGACAGGGACTCCAGAGCCCAGGAATGGGGTTTCCAGGTCTGACCCACTGGTGCCAGCTGTGTGGCCGGGGTCTCCACTTCCTTCCCAGAGCCTCAGTTTACTGACTGTAAAATGAAATCTCCTCCATTTCCTTCAAGGGCCACACCCCAGGTCACAAGGGACCAGGGGGGACACCTATTTAAAGCCTGTCTGCCTCCGTCTGGGGGAGGTGTACACGAGGACTCCCGTGTTCAGGCCTTGAACTTGGCCAGGGTGGGAGGAGGAGGACAGTGACCATCTGTCAGAAAGTGACAGCGTCTGTCCCCCTCAGCCTGGCTTGGGGCCTCACAAGCTTTGTCACCAGCAGTGCAGTGGTCTGCTCTTCTCAGTAGTGGCAAAGAAATCCCTCCAGGGAGGCCGATGAGGCCGGCTGGGCCATCTTGGTAGGTAGTGATCCCTCCCAGGTAGGAGAAGTTTCCTCCTCCACCATCAGGGGCTGGCCTGAGCTTGGCTGCTCGGTCAGGACCCTCTGACCACTGCCTGACCACTGCCAGCCCTGCTGCACTTCACGATGGCACCTGAGACGGTGCTGAGACCACACAGCCAGAGATGGTGGTTTAGCTCCATTTAGGGGTCTCGTTGTTCCTTCCAGGGAGGACAGGGGTGGCATGGCAGCCACCCCACCCGTGCACGTGGATGCCCGAGGAGTCTGGTCATGCCTCAGCCGGCCCAGCCTAGGGGCAGAGCGTTAGCACCGGGCTCCTCCTGCCGACACTAATTAGGTGCAAGACACTTCCTGGGTGATGTGCCCAGGGCCGACCGCAAGCAAGCAGGAACCGGGCGCTGGCTTGGAGCCAGATCTGCCTGGGGTTGGCTCTACCTGCACCCTGACGTTAATAAAAACAGCCACCCCCGGTAGTGATTCACGTGGGCCAGGCTTGGTGACGAGGTTTTGTGGTAAGCCTGTGATCAGGGTTATTTCTTGTCAGCCCTGCATGGCCTTTAAAGTAAGGATTCTATCTCCACTTTACAGTGAGGCATGTAAAAACACTAAGAAGGAAGTAGTGGGCTTCGCTGACCCTGGCTGTTAGGCCAGGCTGGCTCCTCCCCAACCCATCTATCTCAGTTTTTCCCTCCATAAAATGGGATGAAATATTTTGTGTTGGAAGCCAAGCATCATGGTGGTGCACGCATGTGATCCAGTGCTCGGGAAGCTGAGGCAGGAGAATCACTGCCAGCCTGGGCTACACAGTGAGTTCAAGGTCAGCCTGAACTGTATAGTGACACCCCATTTAAAAAAAAAAAATTCTGTGCCAGGCTGGGAGGACAGAGTGGTCAGCACAGCAGTTCCTGGTAGTCTATCTAGTAAGTGCTCAATTAACGGAAGTCACCCTAGATTCTGACTAGATTTAAACCTTCATTGCTGCTGAAGGTTTAAATCTCCGGAGGCCTCAGTTTTCCCATCTGTCTAATGGGACTCTATGAACTTCATGCTCAGAGTGGACCTGAAATGGAGTCCAGAAGCAAGGATTTCCCAATGCCCTTGGACTTGGTACCCTAGTTGTATCTTGCTTGTGGCAGCTTGTTTAGAGCTGATTGCTAAACTTTTGAGATTTTGTCCAGCTGCTTGCTAAACTCAGCCATTATTAAAAACCACATTAGAGAGCTGGGCATGATAGCGCATGCCTGAATCCCTGTACACTGGGAGGTTGAGGCAGGGGCTCCTTACCTATGCCTTTGGGCTCCTCCTTACTCCTGGAGTCCTGGCTTTGGGCAGCCTGGGCCTGGGGCCCCTCCAAGCCCGGGGGAAGCAGCTGGAAAGTAGGGTCCAGTTCCAGGATCATCTGGTTGAGGGTCTCCAGTGAGAAGTCCACATAGGAGTCCAGGTCCTGTGGGGTTCCTGAGGCTTTGCCGTGTGGCTCTGGAGTCTGCTGGACTGGGCTTGGGGGCCCCTTGCTGGGTGTGGGAGCCATCAGTGCCTGGGCCCCCCAGCCTTCCGTGGTGTAGTAAGGACACGGGGCTGGCAGGCTGGGGCTGGGTGCTGAGTGCAAGGTCGTCCTGGGCTCCGCGTGGGGCACCGGTCGGACAGTGTGGCCTCCTGCCAGCGACATGGAGGGGCGCTGTCCCAAGCGGTCGGCTTCCGGCATCCACCAGCCTCACTTACATCCCAGAGCTGTCACTCGTCAGCTGGACCTGGAAGAGCCAGGCATGTGGGGGGCCTGAGCAGCTTGTATTACCCCAAACAAGGGCATTTAAAAGCCTGGGGGCACGAGCCCCGGGGTCCAATTCCCACTTCCATGGAACAAATAAGTAAATAAATGAACGCATGTGGCTGAGGCCGCCCGCCTGGGTTTGTACCCCAGCTCCGCTACTCAGGAGCTGTACATGTTTGGGGAAGTGAACTAACTTTTTCCTGTGCCTCGGTTTCCTTCTGTCTCAAGTAAGCTGACGTTTGTAAGATGCTTGCACCGAGTGCCTGGCTCGGTGCAGACCTTAAGAGATTTCTCTAGATGGTTTCAGACCATCTCCCGGGCCAGGCATGTTTGCTAGAGACGACAGCCAGTGTTTGCTGAGTGATTCTACACACACAGGCCCCGTGTTCATACGCAGCGTCCTTCCCGTTATCACCCCATTGTACAACGAAGCAAAGGGGGTACAGGGCGGAGAAGCCACTTGCCCACGGCCATGCTGCCTTTTGTGTCAGAGCAGGGCGGGCCTCGGTCATGTGGTGGGAGGCAAGTAAGCAGCTGGGGGCAGTAGACCGAGTCATAGGGAGCAGGGGGAGCAGTCGGGGGGCTTCCTGGAGGAGGGGATGTGCAAAGCCTGGGGGACAGATGGGCACTGCCGAGTGCCAGGAGAACAGGGCAGCTGGGTGGGTGCAGGGAGAGGTGGAGGAGGGGCGGGCTACACCTGCAGGGCCTAGCAGGCTTGGGGTGCCTGCCAGCCCAGCTCTGGGGCCATGGGAAGCCACGGGAGGAGTTCAGAGCAGGGCTGGCAGGGGAGGTGACGTCATCAGATGCTACTCACTCCCCTGGGGCTCCTCAAAACTGGGGAAGCCCTTCCTGTGGTCTAACCTCAGGGCCACACGCTGTTCTTTCACAGATGCAGATGAGGGGAGGTAAGAGGCTCAGAGGGGACTGAGAACACAGTGTGAGGCTCCAGCACCTGCTCCTCCTTTTCCCAACACCCCTTTTCCCAGTTGTTTCCTTTTTGGTCTCTTAGGGACCAGCCAGGGCCAGACAGGAACCTGCAGGTTCCATTCAGCTTCAAGCGGAGCCTGGTCTTTATGTGGGACTCTGGCCCTCAGGGTCCCCCTGCGTGGGATGAGGGTGAGGATTCCCACCTGCATGGGGCAGAGGTTTACAGCCCAGCACAGGGGGGCAGGCCAATCAGCCCAGCACTCAGGGAGGCTGAGGCGGGAAGGTCGCCAGTGTGAGCCCAGCCTGGGCAACTTAGTGAGACTATGTCTCAAAAAATAAAGAAGGGCTGAGGGTGTCGCACAGCGGCAGAGCATCCCTGATGTAAATAACATCAACAACAACCACCACCCTCAAAGGGGGTGGGGAGAGGGATCCGCTGTGTCAGGGATTGGATCATCAGTGACGACAAAAGCCAGGCGGGCTCTCCAGGCCTCTCCAACTTTGCTTGTGGCTGGCCCTGGAAAGGACGAGTGCCTATAAATGGAGTGGATGGAGCTGGCCTTGAATCCTTCCTGGGGGCAGCCAAGGACACGGAGTGAGTCGGCCGCAGCCTGTCCTGGGTTTACTGGGACAGGGCTCTGGCTCTGCAGGGTGTGTGACCACAACACGGTTCTGTGCCAGCCCGGCAAGCGTCCTTAACTCGTTTCAGCCAGGCTCCATGTGGCACAAGCTTGCTATCCTGCCACTTTGGGAGGCTGAGGCAGGAGGACCACAAGTTCAAGTCCAGCTTGGGCACCTTTGTGAGCTCCTGTCCCTAAACAAACAATAAACAAAAGGCTGGGAATGGAGCTCAGTGCCCAGGCCCAGGGCGGTGCCCGCACTGCAAAACAAAACAAACAACAAAACAAAACAACACAACAAAGCAAAGTGAACCCTAACTCATTTCAGGAGAAGCTGAGGATCTGCCCTGGGGGCCGTGGGAGTGGCTGAGCTTGGTGTCCACACTGCCTGCTGATAAACCCCAAACTCTCCCTCAGTCATTGGGCCCCAGGATTCCTGGCCTGTCCCTTCCCCGTTGCCCTGGCTCTAAGTTGTCCCAGATGGGAGGGTCCAGGGCTGGGCTGGTGTCCCCTGTGCATCAGGTGGGGCCCTCCCTGTGCCGCCTTATTGTGGGGTTCTCTCTCTCCTCTCTGTCCTCTCCCCTTTCCCCTTCACATTCCTCCTCTTTACTCCCCAGGCTCCAAGGCAGCGCCCCTGACCCCCCTTCCTGGCCAACCACTCCTCCTCACCCCTCTCTCCTGCTGAGAAGGCAGCCAGTGAAGCTGGGTCCCCCCCAAAGCACAAGGCCTCTGGAGACCCCTCCCCAAAGCTTAGACTCTTTTTTTTTGTATTTTTACCGGTACCAGGGATCGAACTCTCGACCATACGCCTGCAAGGCAGGCGCTTATGCTGCTGAGCTAAATCCCCAGCCCCTGAAGCTTAGACTCTCGAAAGGCAAATCTAACCCCCCATCCCGCTGCCCCCACAGGGCCCCCGCTGGCCCAACACAGGAGGCCCAGGTGCTGGGTCCGGTACCTCCCCCCGCACCCCCGCAGCGTCTGTGACCTCTGCTCCCCTATCTGTCCACCAAGAGTCCAGATTCAGGTCCCTAAAGAGCTGGCTCAGGGCGGGGCGCAGACCCTCTCTCCCTTCCCTCTCCTCTCCGCGTCCCTCCCAGCTCAGGCAGGTGGGGGACCCGGGCAAAGGCGCGACCCCAGCTCTCCTTGTGGAGCGCAGGCCCCTACCTGTGCGAGCCAGCGGCCGGGCAGCTGCTGGGGCCGGACTGCATGGTCGGTCTGTCTGAGGCTGCTGGGGCCAGGTGAGGAGCCCGGCCCCGCCCCCGGCCCGCCCTTCTCCTGGCCAGCACGTGGCCTTGAGCCGGCGCCCGCCCCTATAGGGTCCCCAGGTGTGGCCGCTGGGCGCTGGGCGGCCCCCGCGGAGGCTCCTGCTGATCCCGTCACCAAGCAGGCAGGGAGCCGGGCTGGGAGGGCTGGCAGAGGTGGGCGCGGCCTTCCTGTTGCAGGTGAGCCAGCGGGGGTGGGGGTAGGGGTGCATCTTGGCAAAGCGGGGTCCCCTAGGCTGCATGGAGCCCTGGGAAGCAAGTTCCGATCTTGTCTTCCTTCTTGTTTGCTTTCATTCGAGATTCTCCAGCCTGGGCAGGGGCCGCAGCTGGAGCAGCCAGAGGGTGGGGTGGGGTGGGCTGTGCCCCCAATCACTGACCGCCCCTAACTCCAGGGCTGGAAGCCCCACGGGGTGGGGTGCAGGAAGCAAGCCTGCCCCTCCTCTTCCAGGCTTCCGCTCTCCCGTGGGGTGTCCCAATGTAGGGGACATCTGGCCATGAGGAGAGGGCTCTGGTGGCAGAGCCCGGTCTGGGCAGGTCAGTGTGCAGTGGAGGTGTCAGCCTGTGGGCACCAGTCCCGTGGTGGCATTAACAGGTGCCCTGGTGTCCCTGTTGGCTCCTGGCTTGGTGGGCAGCTGTGTATCATCTGAGCGGCATAGCCCACACCCTGGACCCCAGAGTGAAGGGGTGAGGAGATTGTGTACACAAGCCTTTCTTATGCAGACCAAGAATCTGCTCTGGGTAGGCAGGAGCTTCTCCTGTCTCAGCCTCCCAGAATCCTGACTTTACAAGTATGGGCCACGTGACTGCTTCCCTATAAAACACTCATGGTCCTGCCGGTGCAGGCAGGTGAGGCCCAGTCCAGGAATAACTTTATTATAAATGTCCATGCCCAGGACAGAACTGGAGGACCCTTAAGCTCTGCCGATATCCACAAACTCAAACTTTACAATGGGCAGCCACCCCGAGAGCTGTTTTTTTATAAATGGTACTCGTGGAACCTTAGAAATCACACACAGGAGCCACACACGTGAGAGCGTATGTCAGCACTGCAGTAGGGAAAGAGAGAGACCTAGATTACTTGCAAGGCTAGAAGGACTCTGAGCAACCTTAGAGGGGATTTTTGTGGTTTCACTCAGCAAACACGTTTTTTGCTCTCACCCTGAGAGCGGCGTGCAGTGCTTGCTTAGTTTTGAAAATCCTGGTTTCACACTTTGCGGGGCACTGATTTGCACGTTTCTCCCTACACCTGGTTTACTGCCCTCTTCGGATTTAATGGCTGTCATGGCTGAAAACACCTAGGTCCAGGCGGAGTGGACGCGTTGTGGGATCAACTCATTAAAGCATGGCATTAATTTTCAATTCTGTCCCCAGCGATGCAAAGATTTCGTGCAGCATCGGCGAGCAAATTTCCATTTTCCATCATGTCAAGCAGTTCTTGCAAAGAAATTGGGATAACTTGCATTTTAATACTTTCAGCCAATGAATTTTAAACCCACTCAAATGCTTCATTTAGAAGATTTTTAAGCAAGTTAAAATGTTCTTTTTTGGTTTGTTGTTTGAAGGGTGGATAAGCATCTTAAGAGTACAGAATTTTTTTCTTTTTTAGCAACATCATGTAACAATGGGAACACTTCCAAATTTTATCTCTAAGTGCTCTCTCCTTTTATTTTTCTTTCCAAAGAGCTGCTTTCTTGATAATTTCACCTTTATCCCAGTGAAGAGACTTCATTTTTGGAAATGTCTGAGGTAGCTCTCAGTAGATAGAATTTATGTGCTTGTTTTTCCTCTATTATACCAAATGAAATGTCTTCAGATTTGGGGAAACTGCCATTTTTCTACTGTCTGACTGTAGATTTAGACAAATTGTCCTTTTTGTCCTCTTCCTTCTTCCCCATCTGTCCTTCCTTTCTTCTTCCCGCTTCTGTGGTACCTGGCAGGAATTCAGGGCTTCATGGTGAGCTACACCCCAAGCCCTGTTTATTTTTAAAATTTTGTCTTTTTAAGATGGGGTCTCAATGTGCAGTGCTGGCTGGCCTTGAACTTCACTGTGTAGTCTGGGCTGGTCTCAAACTCACTGCGATCCTCCTGCCTCAGCCTCCCGAGTGCTGGGATGACAGGCATGTGCTGCCATGACCAGCACGTCTGCAACTCTAAAAGCAAGAAAGCAATCCAGGTCTAAATGTAACACCCAAACCGATCCCAGCTGCCTTGCTGGGGCTCCATTGCCTGCTGTGTGAATCAGCCTGAAACCCAGGCCCTCACTGGCTGGGTGTGGAGGCGGTGCAGGGTGAATGTCCATCCCCCAGTCCAGCTCCATATGTGCACCTGGTGGCCCTCTCAGGGACAAGCATCAGTGTGTGGCTTTGGGTCCTAATGTGCTGACTCTCACAGTGCCAGACTCTTCTACCCACTGCAGTGAGGCCTTGACTTCCTTCCACTCTTGGTCTTCCTCACCCAACAGCAAACAGGGAAGAGAGAGGACAAGGCCGGTTCTCTAGAGCCACACCAAGAGGTAGCCCGGCTGGCTGCACGGAATCCTGGGAAATGTAGTCCCACCATGTGCTCAGCAGGAAAAGGACCCTCTTGGGGGTCCAGGAGCACTGAAGGCAAGGGGCAGTCGGGGTCAACAGAGCAGAGCTCCGGGAGGGCCGACAGGCAGGGTGTGCAGGTGGCCAGGAAGGAGCAGGGGGCCTCACTCGTGTCCCCAGATCTCCTTAACTACTGACCTGATAGGACAAGTCCAAGGATGTAGGAACGAGTTTGCACCCGGCACTGGACTCTTACTGGGGACTCCTTCCTCCTAGACTGGGGAAGTGGATTCACATCTCAGAACTGTGGTTTCTCCTGTGATTCAAGGTGGCCTGGCACTCCCGGCAGACAGGGCAGCTGGCAAGGCGTGCTAGGTGAAGAGAAATCCCCTGAGTTAAGTCCTGGGAAGGAAGACAGGGCTCGACATGCCTGGGGAAAGGTCATGGGGGGGGGGCGGGGAAGGAGGATGGGTGGTGCCAGAATTTTTTTTTTTTGTCTTTTTCGTTTTTATTGGTACCAGGGATTGAACTCACGACTGCTTGCTTGCAAGGCAGGAGCTTATGCCGCTGAGGTAAATCCCCAGCCCCCTGGTGCCAGAATTTAACAATGCCCTTCCCATCCCTGTACCCCAAGAATAGTTACCCAGTCAAATACTAATTCAAGTACTGGTATAGCAGGATTTTGAAGAGGTCCCAAGTCAGGGGTCTCAATAGGGAGATGACCTGGTGGGCCTGGCCAAATCAGTTGAGCTGTTTGTAAGAAGTTTCCTGCTGCCTGGGGCGTAAGAGAGATTAGAAGCACTGAAGGATTCCTCTCAAGACAGCCAGCAGGGAAGCGGAGACCTAGGCCCTACAACCACGGGGAACTGAATTCTACTGACAGCCCAAAAGGACTCTAGAAGTAGATTCTCATATATGTTCATGAATGAGTGTGGTTTTACTACACACTAAACCTGTGATTCCTTGTTACACAGCAGTGAAAGAACCATTATACACTCCCAAGTGTAAGGAATCAAATGTAAGCCACGCTCACCAGCGGAATGAAGTGTGCCCAGGTGCCCAGCCTGTGACCTGCCCCTCCTCATCTCATCCCTGGCTCTGTCCTGCAGCAGCCCAGCCTGGAGACGCTGAGTTCCAGCCCCTGCCCTGGAGAGAGCCATCCCTGGGCCAGGATAGGGGGTACCCAGGCAAAGGAACCCCGGGGAGTCTGGGGAGGACTTCCTGGTCCTCTTCATGCACGCTGACATCTGGCGGGCACATCCACAAAACCCACAGACTCTTCACCCCGTGGTGGCTGGAGCAGAACCCTTGGACAGCTGGTGACCCGGGACACAGACTTTTTTCCCTTTTATTGTAAAGTGTAAATAAAGGAAAATTGGCCACTGGTGACATTTAGTACCGTGCAGCCACCATCTCTGTGTAATTCAGAGCATTTTTATCTCCCAAAGGGGACTCGATACCCACGGGCCCTCACAGCCCTCCCCCCAGGCCCTGCAACCACAATCTGGGCTCCATCTTTATGGCTTTACCATTCTGGACATTTGATATAAACGGGATCGTACAGTAAGTGACCTTGGGTGTCTGGTTTTTTTCTCTGATCATAGTGACTCTGAGGTTACCCGTGCCACCACCTGTGTGAGGTCTTCAGTCCTCGTGGCTGAGTGCCTGCCCACCGTGTGGAGACCACGTCAGCAGGGGGCTTTCTCTCTGTTGTTGTTGTAGTTCTTGTTTTTGAGACACAGTAGAACTGCATCTCAAGGGCCCAAGCTGCCCCTGAATTCACCACGTAGCCCAGGCTGACCTCACACACTCGACAATCCTCCTGCCTCAGCCTCCTGAGAGCTGGGATTATAGGCGTGCACCACCTTGCACTGCGTTGCAGGGATCTTCCTTGCTGGGGTCTGTGAGGACCTTGGCCAGGGCTGGGGGAGGTTGGCTGTGGTTCTGACCCTTTGCCCTTTCCTCCTCTTTGCTCCTGGTGTTGCAGGTCATTCTAGGGATGCTGCAGGGAGACAGCCCGTCTTGTCTCTTGGTCTTTGCCATTGGAGCCTGAATCTTGCCCAGCAGTGGTGGCAACATAAGACCCCACTGGTGTGGACCCATCCCTAGAAGGTTCAGTGGCTGGGGTTCCCCACAGTCTATGGTCAGGTCAGGGTGTCCAGGGAGAGCTGGAGCCAGTGCTGTGACAGGGCTGAGGACCTGGTGTGGGGGATCGAGGGAGAGAGCGCAGAGCTTCAGGAATGGGGCTGCTCAACCACTGAGCGGGACATAGGGGAGGGGGCGCAGCCTGGCCCTGAGCTGCTCAGGCCCTCCCTGCTCCTTTGCTTTCGCCAGGGGCTCATTTTGCAGTGAAACTGAATCCCACATTGTTTGTTCTTTGCTCCGCAGCTGCCTCTGAGGAGGCGACCGCCGGGAAGCTCACTGGAAGAGGAATTTGGCCCCTGGAGACCCCTCCTCACTCTCCAGAGGGCCGGTGCCAAGATTGTAGTCACTGCCGCCACACCAGCAAAACCCAA